TTCCCTATCCTCTCATTATGTCTCCAGTAGCGCATCTTAACAATGAAGGCACACTGCCAGCCCACCTATTTCTTAAAATTCTGGTTTGGGAGAAGGAGCCAGACAAAGAATAAAACTTTCAGAAAAACAAAAAGTGACTTGGGGGCTTACAGCCCGTTTTCCAAAGCAACTTCAGCTCTTACACGCCTAGTTTCTGCTGAAAGCCAATGCACTTTGTCTCCCAAATGGTTTTCTTGCATTTGAAAATACAACATAGAGATCTTTGAAATTTACTCAAAAGCCCGTAGTTAAGGCTCCAGATAAAGTTATCTGTTGTGACCAACAAAAACATTTTGATCAGATGGTTGGCACCTGTTTAATTTGTATGGGCAGGACAAAATGAAGGTCCCTATCTGCTTTAGAATCTGCTATTAAAATTTTACTTTATATACATGTTAAATTACATATTTATAAACAAAGTACAATTTAATTACAACAAACACCCATGGGAAACAGAGAAAAGTTTGTTCAAAGACACCAATTGCTATAATAAGATTAGTCAATTTGTTCTATCATAACAAAAAATGGTTCTTGCTACTGGGACTGTTAAAAGCAGGGAGTGTTTTTATAAATGAGGCTTGTTGTAACAAGGTTGTATTGTACTTCATGTTTCAGTGACCATAAGGAATTTTCTAATCAGATAAATCCATAAAAGAATATCTTAAAAAAAGAATTTTAAAATACTGTTTTTCCCAGCAAGTTTAGTAGACTGGCCACCATTTAAACATATACTTTGTAATTTTCTTTGTAAAAAAATACAGTATACAAAGCTTTTTAATGCAAGTTTATACTATGGAAAAAAAAAATCACAGGTAACTTGTTACAGCATATATGCACAAGACCATGAACTGGTAGTTCTAAACCAGGACACTTTGAAATCCTTTCAAGGGTGCACCAGGGTGCCACACAATGTTAGCACTGTTAGGTGTGCAAACATGGATTCACAAGATAAACCCAGAGATTCTGTCCTGCTGTGGTCTTTTTGAGTTCTCTGCAACAGAGGAGCTACTCTGTTATTTTTCTGACGTCAAAAAATGAGTGAAAACTTAGAACTGACACTTTCCAAAGGGTGCCTTGAGACTACTGAGGAGTGCCTTGAGTCTAAAAATGTAGAGAACCACTGCCATATACACACAATATACAACAAAAAAATAAAAAGGAATCACAACAAGTAAAAAGCCTTCATTCTTGTCAGGAAAAGGTCTGCCATAGCAGAAAAAAATAGGAAAAAAGTGTAGAAAATTCAATTTCTGTAATTAACGATAACGCTGATACAACCTTACCTTGATACAAATTTTCCACAACAAGCAGGGCCTGCCTTACCTAGTAGAGTTCATAGTGGAGATCACTGCCAAAAATCACAGCTCAGAAAGACAGTAATTAACATTTTGCTTAATGTTCCTGGGACCGTTCTTTAGCAGTGGATCAGTCAGCTGGCTAAAGATGGGCAGACACTTAAGATATTTTGACCTAGAAGCCCTGACATCCAGTGTATCATTTTTAATTATTTGCACTGCTACAGAGCACAGGAGGCCCAGTTATGAACCAGGACCCCCTGGTGATAAGGGATTCCTAGAAAAGGCAGTGCCTTGTGACATGCAACTGGAAACAGATCCAACTGATTAAACTATCTGCAAAATTAACTGCTCATAGTTTAAAACCATATCTTTAAGACTGCTCCTCTCCCTATGACAAACTGCTGCAGCTACGCTTAAAACAGGTGCTGGTGGGGACATGGTTTACCAGAAGCTTTGGTCTTTAGATGTATATAGTCTTGAGCAGTCAAATTTCAAGCTCAAAATTGTGTAAGCTCCTTCCAACCCCAAACACAACATAAAAGAATGGCCAGAACCAAAGTTTCCCCAGTGCTAACAAAAAGAAAGAAAAAAAATGTAGTAACTGTTCTGTGAATACAGAAAAAAAATACCGAGTTTTGTAGATAATATATAACAATACGCTTCTTCACCCACTGAGTCAAATAAATTCATATCTGAGCTGAAGAACATTATGCATGACTTCTGTCCCCAGCAGCTTACCACAATGGCTTTGGTACTAGGACAGTTATTTTGAAATCTGTGAAAGTTTAAGTGCACTAATACAATAACAGTACTTATGTCCCAAAAGTATGCATTTGTCTTTGGACCACATGAACCATCTGATCAGTACAAATGCATTGCAACATTCCATTTTACCTGGAAAACAGCCCTGTGATCTTCTACTACTTGCTCTTCCATTTCTACCATTTGTGACACAGCTTCATGGAAAGTAAACAATTGCGGAGAAACTTCCTCTTCCTAGAGCGGCGAAACAACAGCGAAGCTTGTTATTGAGCGAAGAATTTTGCTTAAAGAAAGTATGTTAAACATTTCTTGCTATCAAAAGATAGGAAAAGGAAATACACTGCAATCAGAACCTGGCGAAAGATCTACAGATACAGTTTACTGACACCCAAATAGACTCCAGAAACTGGGGGAAGGTTGGAAAAAAGTTACAAATGAAATTTCGAGAAAAATTTTCTTAGTTCCATTAGGACATGTTTATATTTTCCAATCAGTTCTCCTATTGGGGAATAGAAGCCAAAAAGGAAATGCATCATTTCTATGTATTCAGTAAAACATTAATATGATAAGGGGGGGGGGGGGGGGGGGAAGAGTGTTTTTATTTTGGGGGGAACAATAGTTTTCAATGCTAATGAGTTTTAACGCAGTGAGTAATTAAAAAAAATATTACCACAAATGCAGACTATAACTAGGATGTGGGAAAGGTCTCACAAACAGAATTTGTACTTTATCAATAGCAAATTGTAAATTGATCCATGTCCTTTCCCAATATAAATATTTAGTTGAACAGAACTGTTTGAAAGTACTCAAAGAGCAGTAAGAAATTTATCATTTGAAAGTACAAGCAAAAAAAACCACATGATTGTTAGCAAAATTCATTATCTTTTGGCATTGTTAAAACACACTTTTGGATGTGCATTTTACAGACAACTCCAGCCACTACACTGAATTAAGCTGCACATCTGACACTTTTGATATACATATAACCCACAGAGGGTGTTAATACACAAGGGGGTGTATATATTTTGCAGTAAATACCGTTTATTTCCTAGTAAAATTACAGAATAATTACTAAAAATTAAAACAACTCTCCCAAATTCTTTAGCATTTCTCAGGAACCTAGAGGTTAATGAACTTAGGGGGAAAAAATACAGCAAAAAGATTAAAAGGATTAAACCAAGCCAGGCAAACAATAGAGAGGACAGATGTACCTTCTGAAACATTTCAAAGTGTAATGGGGTTTGAAATGTATACAAAATGGATCATTTCAGCCACAGACAGGCCCTGCCAGAGCACTTCAATATCCCTGCACTAGTGGTGCTTTTCCATTATGGACCATACATGATAGGAGGCTGCTCAGCCCTGTGGCTCCACTCCTCCTCCCAGCCCCAACTCAAGGGCCGCGTCTATACAAGATGCTACTGCACAGTAGCATCAGAAAAAAAAAAACATGCAAGGAAGCTACTGCGAGTAACGTGAGCTACTGCAGAGTCATTTTAATACTTGGCTATGCAAGTACTAAATGACTATGTATTAACAACCACATAGTCCACTGCTCGTGTAGATGTGGCCGGGGGTGGGGAGCAGAGCAGAGTAAATTTGTGCTATCATTACCTCAGGTGCTGAGAGCACCTCACTGTGTTCCCGGTTTCCAATAGCCAGGGCGCTAGGACTGTTCACTGATAATTTTCTATTGCTGGAGAGAGTGGGAGTGGGATGAGGGGAAGAGGAAAGAG